ATCTAGCAAGTAATTAAGAAATTAAAAAAAATATAGCTTATAAGTTAAATAACTTTTGAATAAATAAAAATAATAAAAATTTTTATATATATATTAGATTGGAAGAAAGAAATGCTCATTTACGTCTAGTCTATCAAGAGTTACAAAAACAATTGAATGATTTACGCGAAGAACGCGCTGGTTTACAATTGCTCTTGGATACCGTTCATAAGTCATCTCCACCCTCATTTTAACCATTTGTTTTGCCTTGGTCTTATATTATCAACAGATAAGTACACTTCATCATCATTAACACTTTTTAATATTATTATTATTAACAATGATCTTGATGAACCCATTATCACTATGTTTTAATTATCACAAAATATTGTTAATATTAATAATATAACCTATTTATTTATATTTATTATCATACTTATCTGTTTGGTTTAATATTATAATTATTATTTAAATGTATTGTTACTTTTTTTTTTGACCAAGCATCAATAGATACATCAAATATTAGATCATGTTTTTAATTGTGACATTTAAATTTTAAATTTTGATGTATTTACTGTTGAACTTTATATGTGATTATTATTATTATTATTTATTCATTATTGTATTAATTATTTTACCTTTTGTCTATTGTAATATTGGTATAATTTAGTTATAGAAACTTTAAATAAATAATTATTATTAATTTAATTTCTCTGCGCTCCATTAATCAATGAAGTACATATTATATATTTCATATTATTTTTTCAATTAATGAATTACATTTAGGAGTGCAGAGTAAAATAAAATAAGAGATTCTTTTTTTTTTTTTTTAGAATACTTGTGCTAAATAAAAGAAAAATAAGAATCTTTTATTATTGCTATATGATGAATGAATACGTTATTTATTAATAAGACAAATAAAGGCAGCTTCTCCATGCAGAATTCATTAATTATTTTGACAAAGTATATTATATATCATATTATTTCAGAGTAATATATTTATAAATATGGTTTATCTAAAATTGTTGTTTTGATATAATATATATATATCCATTATTAATTACATCGTTAGAAAAGATAGTCGCAGAATACTCAACAAATGTGTTGTTAATGACACAACCCACAATCAACAACATGATAATATTAATATCAATATTTATACAAAAAAAACTAAAAATATAATAGAAAATGCTGAATGTCAAAAAACAGCTCAAAAACAGTAAATATATTTTTGAAATTTTGAATTTTGAACAATTCAAATTTCTACAGTTAATACTTTTTGATTTACAACAAAAATCTAAAATGGTTTTATATAATATAATTATTTTTACATGGAAAGAGGACATATACAATTTTGTCAACATTTTAACTTCAGACAATTATAAATTATTACTGTGGATTTACTCTCAAGTTTATTTTTTAAATTGCACTATTAACAACTTAGACGGAAAGTTGCGTATAACATTTTCAAGTTTTATGACCCAGCAAACATTTTTGATGATAATAATTTTTAAAGAAATTATCCAAAATGAAAATTTTTTCTCAATAACTCAAAAAGAATCAAAACATTTGTGTGTTAAGAAAATGCCAATATTAACATTTGATGAAAATTTTATATAAAATAACATGGAAACCTCAAAATGATTAAGGAAAAATGGTTATATTTTTTTTTTAGTTACGTACAGCAAAAAAATTCCTATTTTTCCTTGATTATTTTGTGGTTTTCCACGTTTTTGTAAATTACTTAGAATTTTTTTATATTTTTAAATTAAAACAAAATAACTAAAAACTTTATTATTGGTTTTAAATTTTAATGTATAATTTCGTCAAAATTTGAACTTAAAATGTCTGTATAAAAAATAATTATACATTTATACCTATATGGATCTTTAATATTTATCAACTGCTAATATAACGACTTATAGGGAATCTTGTATTCAATTTTCAAGCTTTTAACCCAACGAGTAATATTTTATTGACATTTATAGAATACAAAATAAAAAAAATAATTAAAATGTTCATATGTCTCTAAGATAACTTAAAACGATTAAAAATATTTTGAAAATTTCATCGAAGATAAAAAAATAAACATTTTATGAAAATTTCAATTAGGTACCTACCTACTGTTATTAGTTGTTAAATAACAACGAAATAAGAAAATCGTTACATGAGGGATTTGGACCCATTTCGCCGAATCCCATCTCACCGAAACATAATAGAAATTTGTTTCTAAAAAAAAATGTATATATCATTTTACATATTTATTAAAAATATATAAACATTCATCCAAACGACAAACATTTCGAGTTTTACTCGAGATGGAAGTGGTAGATAATTGCTTCTAGATTTTCCATGATTGTTATTTGTCCATTTCCTAATTTGAATTCAAACATACATTTTAGGTATTAACATATCATAATTATTTAATTAATCGGTGTATACAGTTCTTTTGCAGTTTTTAATCTTTTTTTTCTAACGTTTTGTATATTTTCCTCATTTGTGGAGGATGATTACATTTTTTTTGAGCTAGAATATCAAACTTAAAATTGTGTTGCTGATTTTTTAGTTCTTTAATAAACTTTTGATGAATTTTATATGACTAGAACTAGTAGTGGCGAAAATGACTGCAGACTAAAGCTTGTGACTGTGCGTAAACCAATCATTATATGTGTAAATTTTGTAGATGAAAGTTTTTATTATTATTGTTACTTTATCATCGATAAGATTACAGAACGATGTTTCCGCGACGATGTCACCTGCTTTACTTCCCGCTTTAATAATTTATAATACTTTTCTTCAAAACCGCTAGACATTTTTGGTTTTTAATAAAGTTAAAATGTCGATATTATATCATTAAAATCAAATTCAACACTCATTTTTCTAGTCGTTAATTCCCAGGGTGGATTGCCTACCCATCCAAGCTATGATAGTAAAAACCTATGATTTTTCGGCTAGGATAGGAATATAGGATAGGATTTGGCGAAACGGGATTTATTATCAATCTATATACAACTGGTTTTTTGTCGGCAAAATGGGATGAAGCGCCATGAGGATTTGTTTTACGGGTGAATGTCCAATGTCTAATTTAACTTCAAACCCTTTTGAAAATTAATTTGACTTTCCAGTATATTCTTTTTTTGATAAATGTAGGAAAACGTAAGGGGAATCTTGTACAAGAATTTCAAATTTTATACATTCATAGAACATTTTTTATTAATTTTCTAACTCAAAATAATTTGCCAAATGTCGGGATATGCTGAATTTTGTCAACATTTTAACTTCAGACGCCCATAACACATTATTTTAGATTTACACTTAACTTTTTTTTTCCCCCATTAATAACAACTTACGAAGAACGTAGTTCATTTTAAAATTATTTGTCATAACTAAAAAAAACCTAATAAAACTTAAAATTTTCTTACGTCTATAAATAACCCGAAAAGCATTGCAATATTTCAAAAACGTTTTGGTGCATATAAATTGTTAATATAAACATTCAGTGAAAATTGAATTTATCTATGGTTTCAAAGAGTTACACTAAAAACCGAAATTGATTTTTCAAAAACTAGTTTTGGAATGCCTCAATTTTATTTTTTCGCGGAACCCCGTAATTGGGTTCCATACGTTCATATAGGTTTCAGAAGAGATTTATATATTTGTAATTTAGTTTTTAGGGTTGAGAACTTATTTTTGGAGAGATACTTTTAAATATCGTGTATACGGACATTAGGTATTAATATTTTTTTTCTCATAGGATTTTGTCAAGTTAATCTTTTGTCGAGGTTTAGACTTAAGTATTTAACAGTATCAAGAGAAGGGGTAGGTAGATTATTAATAGCCATGTTAGTGAAAAGTCTGTATCTCAGGGTGAACGTCATACGAACGGATTTATTATTGTTTAGTTTTAGTTTAATTCGCCATTTAGTGTACCATTCAGATTGTAGGTTTAGATGAGATTGTAATTTTTTTGAAGCAATCACTGGGTCTTTGTGTACTGATAAAATAACTTTGTCGTCGCATATTTGTCGTAATATAGGAGAAAGAACACCTCCTTGAGGAACTTCAGCACTAATTAAGGCTATATTTGATGTGGAGGAGCCTTGGTGTACCTACTTGGAAATGTCGGTCTGTTAGACATAATTCCATTAGTAGAAATAGATAGAAGAATTAGAAGAAATTTACGGAGTTTGAACAGAAGACCTTCATCTCAGAGTCTGTCGAAAGCGGAAAGCCTGGGAGTTGGTACATGTCTAAAAAGGCACAAGTACAACAGTAGGTAGCATTTAATTTCAAGTGAGGTAGAGACTGCATCGACTTATGAGCTTAACAATTAAAATATGTCCTGATGATGTATTATACGTATATATTTTAGGTTTTCTGGTGATGCATATATCACATTAAACGCATAGGTCAATCTACGCCACTTCCCCATCCCCTCAGGCCTCAACCATGTGTAGGCCACTGTATAGTATTACCATAGTACCTTTTTTTTTTTTTTTCCTGTTTTAACCGACGACACCGCGGGATCTGCTTTCGCATTGCTTCCGCGGCGCACTACCATAGTACCTAGCATAGTCTATATGTACAGAATACATATTTACTTATTTTGTATTATAAACCTCAAACTCGATACCTACATGGGCACAATATGGCCACAGGGCAAAGGTCATTCTGTGACATGCATATATCTATCTAATTTATGAATAATTTGCACTCTCCGTCTCCCCATCACCTTGTGAATTAATTTTTAAATGGACTATAAATGAAAACAATTTTTTTTTGCCATTGTCAATATTTAACATACCTACTATGGTTGAAACTTGAAATTAAAAGCATTTCAAAAACATCATGGTTAGTACTGCTCCATACCGGTCATGAACTAAGTTTATTGCTTAAAATGTAAAGTTAAAGTTTTTTTTTCTTAGTTCATGGTACCGGTATAAGTACGGCAGGTATAAATATAATATGGTCTATGCATCCAGCACGTTTTGCTGTTATCAATTTACATTGATAACACGTAAAGTGATAGGATTAAAAACTAAAAAGTTCGAGATCGCAATAAATATTAAATAATAATAAGTAATATTACCGGTTTTAAAACTATACATAATTGTTACGTACAAATCAAAGTATTCAGCGCAATAGAACTATAGGTAGTAGGTAGTACAGTAAGCATTCAGTACCCTCTGACCTTTAAACTAATCGATAAGGCTGTATTCATAATTATGAATTTAATTGGGTACAACTTTTGCAGATTCAATATTTTTTATTTCTCACTTGAATTTGTTATAAACTATAAATAATAATACACTATAAACTATAATATATGTATTATTAAAGGCACTTATTATACTGATCGTTTTATTATTCTATAAGTAATATCCAATGAATTATTTTTAACAAATTGTTCATACCTAAATCGTTAAACAATTATTTTTATTTTCAGATATTAAATATAAGTTATTTGAAACATGGATGTTTTGACAAATTGTATATCCAAATTTTGTTCATTGCCACCTTCATGTATTGTTGGGGTGACAGCAGCTGTTGGTTTTATAAATTATTACTTTATGTTTGCAGTTAAAGTAAGAATTTATTAATTTACTTGTTATTATCTATAAAAGTCCCAACTCACTGCAGCGGTAGCGGTTGAGGCAAAATTAAGTTGGAAACAATTTTGCCGCTGCGGTGTGTGGCGACCTTAATAATACAATTACATATTTATATAAGTAGTGAAAAAACCGCATAAAATATTTTTTTTTTTGATTACCCATAACTTTACTCTTAAAATTTATCATATGTTTCACGACTGTATTTGTAAGGATTATTTTATAAAACATGCAGTTTTAAAGTAATTTAGAATTCTATAATTTAAAAGTAAAAATAAACTAATCTAGGACAACGGTTCCCAACTGACTACCGGTGGGTATGCAAAAGCAATTCAAGTATTACATTAAAAAAAACATTAAGATTTTTCTCATCTAATTTATATGCCTAATTTTTTTTTAACCATACATTATATACAATACATGAATTAATAATAAATGGTATTGTAAAATATATTAATTTATAGCCAGTCCCAGATAGGCATAACGAGAAACTCGAGCTGGTTGGCGGGTTAAATTTGGGCTGGCTTAGTAATATTTGACTAAAAATATTTAAATATTCCAAACTGAATCACTAAGTATGAATAATAATAAATAATAATTAATTTGTCTTATTGAAAAATAGGCTGTTCATTTTTTTAAGGCCAGTTAAAATCTTTAAATTTGGGGGCCGATACCTTGGCTGTCCGGCATTCTTTATAGCTTATTTTTATTAACTCACCCTATGAGTGTAAGCTATTGAGTGGCCTATTGATAGTATAAATGTAAAGGGATACTCACTACTTAATGATAAAAAAGATAGAAAATCGCTGAACTAACGAATTTAATTTTATCCATGACCATTTAAATCAATTATTTATTTTATATTTATAAATAAGATAATAAATAATAAAATATTATTCAGGCTCCCAGAATACACTGCAAAGAAGGTGAATTTAAAAATTTTATTCGTCAAAATGTTCCAATTATCAATGAAAAGTATTGGCCAACAATGTGGTGTTTTGAAGCTAGATTTCAAAGCGTATTAGCAAGTTTGATTCGATCATTTATAGTTCCTCCAGCACCATATATAAGGTAAGGTTTATATGCAGTAATATTATAAATTAAAATTTTTTTTTTCATCTAATTTCAACGATTTTTAATCATTGATTTACTTATTATTAATTTTGTCTTAGAGAAATATTTAAATTAAAGGATGGAGGTGAAGTGGCATTGGACTGGCTGGAACCAATGAAACGTCCTAACGATATGTATGATGCAACAATTTTGTTTTTGCCTGGATTAACAGGTGACAGTAAATGTGAGTATGTTCGAGCTACATCATTGGCTGTGCAAAAATCTGGATTCAGAATTGTTGTTTTCAATTATAGAGGAATTGGTGGTATTGAATTAAAGGTGACAACATTTTAATATATTTTTAATTATGTATCGAAATAAGAATTGTATAAGCACAAAGTTTTTTTTTAATATTTAATATTGAAATTATAATTTTTTTATAATTTTTTTTTGATTATCTCTAAAAATATTCAAGAGTTTTTGGGAGAAGGTGTGGTGTGTACTTACACCCCTTTGCAATTTTCATTCATAATAATTTAATTGAATGCGTGAATTAATTGTGTTGACCTAATGAAGGATTTATAAGCTACATATTTTAAAACCAATTAAATTGTGTTCATTAATCATCTGTGAGTTGTGAGAGTTGTGACACATTTTGATTTAGTTAATATTTATTTTAGACTCCAAGAACTTATTCTGCTAACAATATTGATGACTTAACTGAAGTTGTCTGCCATATAAAAAGCAAGTATCCAGACACCATTTTAGGTGGAATTGGTGTATCTATGGGCGGGTAAGTTATCTTCTAGATATTTATCTTCATTTTTTATATGTTTATAAATTACAGTTATTATTGTTTTACATAACAGACTTTTATTGGGAAGTTTTTTGCAATCTAATGAGCAATATGTTCACAAATACTTCTCTGCTGCCATGCTAATTTCAGTTCCATGGGATTTAATTGCAACCACACAAAATATAGAAAAACCATATTTAAATCGTTTTCTTTGTTTGTACTTAGCAAAATGTCTTTGTAATCTTGTTAAAAAGTAAGTTTAAATATTTGCTTATTATATTCTGTGGTCTATTTATGATATTTTATTTTTATATTTTAGTAGTAGCAATATGTTAAGTTCATCAAGTCATAAATGGGATTATAATCAAGTTATTAAAGTATAATATTTTTGTATTTAGAAAATATGAAATGTTTAGTAAAAAAAAAAATTTTTTTAGAGTAAAACTATAAGGGAATTTGATGCAAATTATACAATCAAGTTATTTGAACATGAATCTGTTGATGATTACTATAAAAAAGCATCACTTCATGATAAATTGGATCGTATCAGAGTGCCTTGTTTGTGTTTGAATGCTGCTGACGACCCATTTTGTTTAGAATCTGGTAAATATTATTTAGTAAATAAAAAAGAGTTTGTAAGATAATAAGATAATTATGAATTATGTTTAGATCTGCCGCTAGAAAGTGCTGACAGCATTGAAAATGTAGCAATTTTGGTCACAGTAAAAGGTGGGCATATTGGGTTTTTAGAAGGTATTTGGCCATTTACTAATAGTAATGAATTTATGTTTCGTATAATTGACCAATATTTCAGCTCAATATTTAAAAATAATAACTATAAGAAATATGATAGTTAAAATTGTTATTTTTGTAATACATTTAGAGTTAAGTGAATTTACTACTTTAGATAAAATATATGATCAAATATTTTAATTTTATAGTGTATACATACTTTTATTATATTGTAATACATTTATTTTCTTGGCGGTGGAGTTTATTTTAGTTAAAAAAATATACATAAAAATGAACTATATACTACTATGTATTTATTATTTTAAACTATAAATTAATTCTACTCATTACACAATTTATTTTTGGTGTTTAATCAGTGGGTTAATCTAACCTGACAGTATTATCATAGACCAAACAGTCTTTGATTTACATATGTGCAATTTACATATGTGCAATGGATACACAATTTTTAAAATATAATCATCTTCAATGCATATTATTTTATTATTTTTATACTTTATATATTTCTAATTAACTGTATTGATATAATTGATGTGTGAAAATCATTAATTTTTCAAATAACATTTTTTTCTGCTTGTGTTTGTTCACTATTTATGCCTTTACTCAAGAAAGGGAAATCAAAGTTTTAAAACTATTAACATTTTCAAATACACAATAATGGTACAAAAAGTAGTTCTGTAACTTTTTGGTACTTTATATTCAATTGTTCTGTTTTTTTTCTGTAAATTGTTAAGCAAATGACTTCAAAATAATGATATATATAAATTGAAATTTGAACGACTAGTTTTTGAGTTATTTAACTTTGTGCACTAGGTTGTGTGATAGTAGGTTTGCAAGCTTAATGATTTAAAAATGATATTGATTAATTAATTTTAAATAGTTATAATCTAAAAAAATTCTATAATTTGTAAAAAATGTTCAGTCTACTTTATTAAATATTAAATCTACTATATATTTTTGTAAATTTACTCTACTAACATAATCTTAGTTGTTAGTTCCATTTTACATTTTAACAACTCAAAAATCATTCGTTTGAGTTTTGATATAGATACTTACCTGCACACAATTTTTCAAAAACATTGTCTGTAGCTTAACAGTAAACAGTAAAAAAATTTGGATCTTATTTGAATAAATATGTATATAAATATCGATTTTGTAGAAAACAAATTTTGAGTAAATTTCTCTGTTTTCCCAATTATTTTGAAAAGTCTGGATTTTAGATTCTGAGCAGAGCCACAAATATATTTATTTTACAATGTTATGTGGTTTTTTTTTTATTATTTGTATCTGTCATCAATCATTGGGGACAGTCAAAATCCTTCAATTTTTTTCTCCAGCATCTTTTCTTTATAGTTTTCAAAAAGCACCGGGCAAAACAAATTAAAAATGAAGGAAAAACTGAGCATTTTTATTGTAACTCTTTATAAAAAAATAACTGTAGTTTGATAAAATATTCACTGAATGTTCAATTTTGCATTTATATGCACCATTATATTTTTGAAATATTGTGTAACTCTAACAAAACTGACCGTAGATACATGACATTTCCACTGTGTATTTGTGTAAGCATTTTCTATACACCATAAAATGTTCAAAATATTTTTATTTGTGCCGAGCTATTTATAGGCATATGGAATTTTCGATTATTATTTGTTTTTTTTTTAAATCAAGTCGATAAAAAAATGTTTGCTCTGTCAAAAACCTTGATGATGTAATACAAAGATCCTTGTATTTGTTTTTTATGGAAATTAAAAAAAAAGTTAAGCCTAAATCCTCAATAATTTTTTATAAGCGTTTAAACTTAGAATTTTGTCAAAATTCGTAGAAATCACGAAAGTTAACATATTATATTTAGTAAGAAATTCATAAAAAATTTTCTATTTATATCTAAGATTTAAAAAATGTAATACAAGATTCTTTACACGTTTGTCTACCTTTATCAAAAAAAAATTTCTACCCGAAAGTCAAATTAAATTTTTATGAGCGTTTGAAGTTTCAATGTTCACTCGATGTGAATATCACTCTCTTGTAGCGATTTACTTATTTTGTTGTAATTCAAAAACAAATTACTATTTACACTTGAAATTTACACCAAATGTGTATTTCATCAATGCTTATACTTGAGATAAAATTTTCAAAATATTTTGTATTGTTTTAAGCAGTTAGGTATCATATCATTGAATTCAAATTTAATACCATCCATTACAGCGACCTTTTAGACACCTAATGTACAACAGAGTGACATCCACTCACCTACTTTTTTTATTCTATAATAAAATGTTTTTGATTGAGTCAAAGAGTTTGAAAATTGAACACGAGGTTCTCATAAGTAGTTCTAATAGCAGTTGATAAGTATAAAAGATCCATAGAAGGTTTTTTTTGTGAGTGCTTAAAAAGTTATTAAATTTCTATAAATAATTTATTTTGTAGTTAAAAATGTATAAAATGTTCAATTTTTATAGCTAGGGTGAAAATTTACAACAAGGCTTCTTTTAAATACTTCATAGAGTAACCAACAAATCTAAAAAAATATATAAGTTATATTTGATATACAATGAAAGTTCAATTTTGGACTTTAGTAAGTATTTTAATACTTAGATACATACTAAAACTATTAACCAAGAACAACTTATATGAAACTTTAAAGTATATTATTATATTTTATATTGACAACGACATTTTCAAATGTAATTTTTTCGACAAAATGAATTTAACATACTGTTATTGTTCTAATCCCTAAAAGTAAAATAAATTACTTTAATCCCAATAAAATCATCAAATAGACAATGTAATATTATAGGCTGACAGACCGTCTTCCCTCAGAAACGTTTTTCGTAGGTGGACAATGATTTTATATCGTTGAATTCAAATTTAACACCTTCCATTAGTGACCTACTTGTAACCTACTGTACAGCAGAGCGTTATTCACTTACCCGCTCTTTTTTCTTTTGACTAAATCCAATTCGAGACCAGCAACTTAACAGCTAAGGGTGACGTTAAAATAAAACACACAAAAAAATGCATTACAAAACGTTTTTAATAAAATCTAAATCTAACAATAATAATTAAGGAAAATTGGTCCATAGAATGCCATACATTTATAAATCAGGGCGTCAATTTGGCAGCATTTAATAGGGCGAATGACTTCAGTAAATGTATATAGAGTTGGAAAAAATGTCAAGAATTTTAAAGGTCAATTTGGTGGTATGCAAATTAGTTCTTTTTCTGTTGCACATAAAATAATATTTCTTTATAATATTGTCTTAACACTGGTAGGTACCTAAAGTATGAACGAAAAAATGTTCATGCTATAATTTAATAATACATACAGCATAACTATAGGTAGTTGGTAGATAGGTACCTATAATACCAATGTAAACGCTTATGTTTACACGTAATGGGTTTCGTAGTGTGAATGTGCGCGATTCATGTAATTCTTTACAAAACAACTTTGTAAATCGATAAAAAACAAATTGTATACGCATACGTAACGTACAAGGTAATACATAGAATAATACGTTTAAGTAGTACATTATACTATACTTACGTCTATAAATATTTTTCACTCATTATTTATTGAGAATACAACTCTAGCAATTCTGCAACACCTATTTACTGACTAACTATTCAACTATTGTAATAGGTGATTACCTATATTAATTACAATATGCATTATGTTTGGAGATTGCAGTGGCGGGGTTATTTCGTCAAAAAGTAAATTTGCCGAACAAAAGAAAAATAATTCTAGGACCTTATATACACTATGTATATATAAGCACATAACATATACAAGCCAGTGAACAGAATTGACCTTGCAGTGAACAACATAATATTGTATAATGTATACACAGTAGGTATAGTTTCGGGGTAGTGGCGTATTGTTGGTAATATTTACATGGCGCAACTCGTCTATCTGACCTACCCTTTTTATCAGTTAACTCGACAAAAAACTAAAACTAAAAAATCGTTACCCAACTCGCGGGATATAATGTTGACTGTTGACTGTAATATTAGTCTAACGTATACAATATAATATTATTTAGTGTGTAATACTTACGCATTATAGTTTATTCTATCAAACGGAAATATAATATATTATTAATTTATAAACTCGAGTAACGAAGTCTAAGAGCCCTAAGCGATACATCGCCACTTCGGTATGTATATTCATGATACACCTGGGTATCTATTATTGGCTATATTTTACAATATAAACCTAAAATTTAGATTTATTTATTTACACATAATATCATGTCAGAAGAACAAAATAACTTACGCATTATAAATATTAAATAATATTTAAAAAATAATAATAATATCCTATGTAACTAAGTCTATATTGATTTCCCATAAGGAATTTTACCCTGACCTATATGGAATTTTACCCCATGCATGGGGTAAAATTCCCAATTTTTATTTTTTTCATTTTTTGTAAATAATTATTTAAAGGTAATGTTGGATAAGTTGCTAATCAGTATCAGTTATAACTTACCTATAAGTATTTCAAGTTTATATGAGCTAAGCTTAGTGGTAGGTACATGGGTACCTACCACAAAAGATGTTGGCTCACTATTCCAGTCATTTAACTTTAAGCACTGATAACTGGTTAACTACTCATCCAAAATGTGATTTTTTTAGACCGATACTCCAAATTATAATTTATATCGGAATATGAAATTATGAAAGTACATTATCATCAAAAAAAGTAAAACCACTTGAACAATTATAACGATAAAAAATATGAAAAACTATAATTGTTTTCCAGTAATGTTGTAACGATTTAAAAATATGTAAAAGAAATATTTTTAAAAACGTGGATGTTTTCTGAAATATTGAGTGTCTAGAGTATATTAATACATATATTATATAATATCCATATCGAATTCGAATACCGGGATACGTGCAGGTCGCAGGACATGCGGTCAATAATAATAATTACCTATGTGCCTATCGCTTTATAGCATATAATTTACTTATTAATTATTATAGTCGGATGACAGCCATTTACAGGTGCATAATATATAACAGAATGTCAGTATATACTGTGATCGTTGATGAAATGTATGAAAATCATCATATTTTTGCCAAAACTATTTTTATTTCAATTCAAAACCAAGAAAAAACCCGTAGTACACACTAGCTTTATTTCAGTATATTATTATTATATGCACTATACTATACTATTTGTAGTAGCCGGGGCATCAAAATGATCAGTGATTTCCGCCATCATCGCCTTAGTAGCCAGTATAGGTAAGTACTAGTTATTTATGCATACCCATTACCTCTAAGGCTCTAAATATAATAAAACGTAGATATCTAATGTAGGGTATAGGATAGTTAAAAAAAAAAAAGGTAAGCCGCTCATATAATATTAATAATAATGAAAAAAGTTTTTACGTCAATCATAATATTTATAACACATATTTTATACACAAGTAAATGTATAATTTTTTGCAGCAATTCTTTTATTTTTAAGGTTTTAAAATTTCTTTTAACGGCAACCTCTACACATTATAATGTACACATTTTTATGATCCGAACCAGTTAAACCTAAGTAGAAACCCGTTGAAAATTAGATATTTTTCCAACGTTCGACATCGCAAAAGTTGTGGGCACAGGTAGGCAGAGATAGCTGCAGGTCGGTACATCAAAGTGTGGAAAAACTATTTTTTTCTGTTCCAAAACAACAATATATTGACCGACATTATGCGCGATCGGTATGACGAATACCAACGCAATCACCCTGTATACAACCACATAACGCAATACACCTCGACGGCAGCTGCGGCGCGACCAGCGCACCAAACTTAAACGCGCCGTCGTCGTGTTCGGCGGTCTTCGCAGACGGTAGTCCCCGCCGTTCAGCAGCTGACATGGATCGGCTATTGATTGTAAGGCTGGCGCGGAACACCGTGCTTCCGTTGGCTTACGTAATATTCACCGCCGCCGCGTTCGTGATCGCCGGCTACTTTTTGGCCCTAAAAACACAGGTCGGTACATCGTTGTTTTTTTTGTGATACATATGATATATGTGCGCATATATATAGTATATATTGTGAGCCTAGTATGATATGCCTGTAGGTCATAGGTACCTATATGCGCCTGTACTTAATATATTAATAATATTATTTCGCATACTTGGCGTCCAAGTATATTGACGGAGTGGTCATCGGAAAGCCCATTTCAATCGATACGATAATGTGCTATGACTTATAATAATTGGTAATGGATAACTTTTACAGTGCAATATGCAAAGCACAAACATATTACAATGTAACATATATTAATGTAACGCATATTATAATATTAAAACAAATATATTGAAATATGAAAGAGTATAGTACTTGTATAAATGTTTAATATGATTCGATTATTATCTTAGTACGTTGGACGATGACATGATGTTGTATTTAATGTTTGGATCATCGATGTTTTTATTACTGAGCGCTTGTTGTCTTCATAGCTTTATTGTTTTTACAACAATAATTTATCGCCAAATCACGCACATTATCCCGTAAACGTGCTTTACCTATTCCTAATAGGTATTGAGTATAATATTTTAGTTGTATTTTTAGTTTTGGCTAAAAACTCATTAGATATCCACCAATGTGCCTATAATAAAATAATAGCATTGAAACCGCTTTGTCGTAATATAAAACGAAGTAATACATAATAGGTACATGTAATACATAAATAATTATAAGTTGTCATAGTCATTATTATGAAATAATTATTTCCATAGCCAACGGCAACCAAAGTATGTATTTTCTGGTCGGTGTCTAGACAAAATAATATTCCCTATTGAGAAATTATACCACTGTTTAAATTTTAAATGCAACATAATCACCGTTGGAGGGGTAAATTATACGCGTTCATTATAGCATCCACCCTATATCCTATTACCTACATTGATAAACAAGAAAAAGTAAAATAATTGTTCATTAATTGTACAGTGAGTGTGTGTGTGTGTTGTGTGTGTGTCTGTTCGCATTTTACGAGCACACTCAATGGACTTAAATTCCCAGCAGTGCGACGGCGCGGTGATCTTTTAGTCGTACAAATTTCAATTATGAAGTGTTTTCATTTTCAAGTGGTAGAAAACTGCAACTGTTGTTAGTTATAACAAGTTGAACTCGGGTGAGAAGGGGCACTTCAAAGATATATTTTATTGAAAATAAATGTTAGCGTAACCATCAAAGAGTATTAAACATCGGATTTAGAGAAACCTTTACTACTTTTTATCAAAAATTCCTTTCCAAACCGTTAATCGATTTAAATGATTTATCGTTTATCATTGTTTTCATATTTTAACCCAACTTATGTGGCCTAATATTTGTCTAGTTAAATGTTTTTTTAGTAAATAAATACATTTTAAACTTTTTATAAATGTATATAATAATAAACTACATAATATTTTAGTAGACATTCATCTGCGAAGAGAACAAGTTAAGAATTTTAACTAGTACCCTCTAATCGATCGCCCTTGTACGATTTATACAAGAGTGGTAAAGTATGACTCGTTAATACGGGATCCCTATAAGTTCAATTTGTGTAAGCAAATAGAGTGTGGGATATTAATTTGGGCTTTTGCTGGTATTTTTGAAAAATAAATGAAACTTTAAAGTATGTTATACGTTAGAAATGTATGATGCTATATAATTATGTTTTCTTGTGAAATAGCTACAAACTATTTGCTCATAAATTATAAATTCATTAGTATTCAATATCTTGCTAAGTTGTTGTTCGCTAACTCGTGTCAAAACTACGTATTTTTAAGTGTTGTTGTAGGCCAAATAATAGTGAATTTGTGATACGAATTTCAGACACATATTACGGTTAGTATAGAAGATTAAAACCTAAAGTTAGCCGAATTTGAGTTTTCTTCACTATATGAAGCTGAAATTGATTGAGCCACATGTTCTTGTTGTAACTGATGTCATCACTATTAGTAGTCATATTATTTTTGACTCTTTATACGTGTTTGCTTCTAATATTATTTTTTAAATTTTTCTACTGATTTTAGGGAAGGGATGAATGCTTTTGATAATAGATAAATAAATAATAGGATTCCAATCATGTACACCTATATTATTCGATCTAGTATTGTTTGATTAGGATCTTCTAAACTTTCAAACGATGTTTTTTTAAACATGCTCGGCCGTATAGCTTATTAGATCCTAGAGTCTAGACCATAGATTTTTCAATGACATCATTTTGTACACAGTGGCCAGAGGCCACACAATAAGCTGAACATAGTGGTCAGGTGGTCACTTTGCATGAAACAGATTTTTCTATCCACTGTACATAATACAATGTTATTCAAATCATACTTATAGTAAACCAAATGGATATTTTAAGTCAAATTATACATCTTATAATGTTTTTACACCGACTGGCCATTTTGTCCGACCAGTGTGGGTAAACTACTCGACTTTGTAATTTTTTTTTATACCAAACATTTAAATATAAAAATTTCAAATCAGCAAACAAATTTCAAAAAATAAAGTTATTATTTAAATTTAAAAGATTTTATTTTTTTATCGCTTTTTTGATAATTTATTGATTTAAAAAAAAAAATTAGTATTTAATTTTTTAGCTAATAATTTATAACTCTCTTTTTAATTACAATGAGTGAACTATGGAGGGAGTTCTTAACAATAACACGTATGTAAGAAGGAGAAAATAATTACCTGCGGGTGCAATAATGACTCCACAGCTATCTTCGTCTTACAAACGTATACAAAACAAGTTTCCCAAGGGGGTCGTCATCGACCCCTCGCAGGTTTTATTCTAAACCTCGAGGGGTTGATGTCAATGAAAAAAAAATTGATGGTCCATGAGATGTAAATGGGAGCCCTAGTGGAAAGGGGTTTTAGCACGGTTGCCAATCTTTTCACAAAAATAAGGGCTATACGACACAAGCGCCAAAGGTACAAAAATGACATATCATTTGAGCCAAAATTAATATTTTATATAAGTAGTTATTTCAAAAATTGATATATTTTATAAAAATGATATTATATGTATACTATATTATATAAATAGTTATTTAAAAATTGCTGTCTTATAAAAATTATATTATATTATACAGTTAATAAATTATAAATTATGATATACATGCAAATCAATATAAATTTAATAAATCGGTAACGATTCT